TACTCCTTTAGTTATATATATAATTTATTAAATATCAGTTTAATAATCACAAACCAGGATTCGAACTTGATTTCCAAAGCACATAATTACGAGGAATGCATTCCAAAGCATGGAATTGCAAAAAGCATGTCCAAATTAATCCTACATACAAACACACAATATATATATATATATATATATATGATGATGATGATCGCACTTGGGCTAGTGTCAGAGGAAATTTTGAATTTGAACTATCAATAAAAAATTCCAAATAAAAATACAAAACATAACCAATTAAAAATAGGTGTAAGCACGATGACTGATGTTATTATATACGTAAATTAAAAGTCAAGCAATAAATTTCTTTATTTGTTGCAACATATTACCATAACACCTTATAAAAGGCTTTCATACAACTACCAAAATTCAATCACCTTATAAAAGAGGAGCATAAGCATAAATAAGTAAATAATATAGGAGCATTGTTGCCTTGAAACTCTCCAAAATGATGCAATATTGCCCTATCGTCAGAGTTGACTGTTTTGTCTAACTTGACTTACTACGTGGCATTTTTAAAAATAAAAAAAATCATAAAGGGGCAAACTTACCTTAGATAAAATAGTCAACAAACAGTTAGCTTTGACGGCAGGATAGCATTGCATTGTTTTGGAGAGTTCCGAGGCAACATTACTCCCAAAAAAAATTAAGGATACCAAGCACCCTTGGAGGAAAAGTTTCAGGATAAATTTGCACAGTTATCCAATAATATATGCAAATGAAATTGGCATTGCAAAAAGAAAAAAGAAGGCATTGCTTTATGTAATATCATAGTCATAGACTTACTCAATATCTTGAAGTATCAACAGAATACTATTTGATTCATTTGATAAGTTTTCGACCAAGCATTATCTAAAAATGAATTACCCTCAAAACATGATTTGCTGCTCTTGACTCAATATGTTGATACCATAATTAATGTGAAACCCATATGCAATGCTATAGAGGAATAAAATGTTAAAGTAGATTTGTTGCAAACAAATGAAAGACAAGGTAAATATTAGTGATGAAATTATATGAGGGCCACGGGAAGATAATTTTCATTAACTGTTTACAAAATAAACTCATGAATGATATTGGAATTAATTAAAGTAAAAACATGAAATGAAATCATAACCAAACACATTTATTTATAATTGATACAATATGTATGTTACAAGGAAATTTGAATTTCAATTGAAAATCTAATCTAATCACCAAATATTAAAATTTAAACTAATCCAACTTAACCTAAAATTTGAAATTTAAACATAAAGCCTTTTTATTTTTAAACCTACAAAGATAAAAGGAGATATTATAAAAATTGTCTTATAATTAAATAATAATTTAAGTTTTAAATAGATAAATATACACGTGTATGTATATATATATATATATTATTTGCAAATAGGACTTATCAAAATATAAACAATATTTACTTTATTGTTGTATAAAAATATAAAATAATTTTATTACTCCCCTTTAAATGATTTGATTTGAATTTCAAATATATATATATATATATATACATACATAACCAGTAACCACTCCATCATCATCATCATCCAAACCGAACCTATAAAAAATAATCAAAATTTAAATTATTATATATATAAAATGATAAATAAATTCAAAAACTTACTCCAAATCTGAATTTTTTATTTGATATACATATAAAAATATGAAATCATCTTCAACCTAATTTTGAAGAACATAGAATATATTCATGATTTATTATATTTAAATGTCATTTTTTAAATATCTATGAATGTGGTTTAAGAAAATAGATAAAATATATATAATTTTTGGCCAGAATAATTTTAGGAAAATCAAGATTCAGATTTTTCATTTCAAATAGTTAAAATTAATTTTTATATAAGTCTAAGAAAATGATATAAATGGATGACCATTAATTTAAATTCAAATACACACACATACTCGATTGTATGAAGCTTAATTTTTATAATATTATCCAAATTTTTGAAAATAATCAAGATAGATGAGATTTGAATTTTAAATAAGTAAAAAATAATTTATATATATAAATTAATTATTCATCCTACACCTAACTTTAAATCTAAATAATATATTTTATACACATTTAAAAATAATATATCATCTTGAATCTAACCTCAAACCTAGTTTTGGAGCACAAAATCACAGAAAAGGCATCTTGAAATATAAAATTGCAACATACATAAAAATGATCATGTCGCATTCTCTCATAGCTTTAAACCATACTTATAAATAAGGATCTATCCCATGATTAAATCTAGTTTTTACTATAAGAAAACACATTTAAAGCAATTTTCCCAAAAATTTTGATTTGAGGTTAACAAATTTGGACAATATAAAATATAATTGTGAAAGAATTGAGGCAATCATCAATCGGTCTATATAATAAACTCATTAGATTAATCTGTTTTTGCTTCTTTTCATCACTGTATACTATGAATAACCTTGATGCCTCATTTGGCATATTGAAGGAAATAAAAAAAATAAAAAGTAAATTTTTACAACATTTAAAAAATAAAATACTGAACATTACAGAAAATTGAAAAACGATTTTCTTTTCTTTTTTAACTAATTGACCATACTAAATGAGACATTAGACTAGCTCTAGAAATTAAGACCAATTTGAACCCACTTGTAAGATTACGACTTTAGAGTAAGCCCACCCTGAACAATTGGGCAACATTAACAAAAACAAATTTATTTGATTTTCTTGTTTAGTATTGGGTGGGTTTGTGGTAACTCTTAATGGAAAGGATTAAATAAAGTACAATAAGATCATGATGGTTTATTTCTTTTTATTTAATCCAATTTTATTATAAATAGTTTAGTAATGTTGTAAGCCTTATTTGTAATTTTAGTTTATTTTTCAGTTTTGATTCTGATTAGTTCTAAGTCATTTTAGAAAAATGAATTCTTCTGCCACCAAAAAAGGTATATTAATAAAATTTAAAGATTTTGTTCTCATTTCTTAAAGATAATATTTCAGGAGAGCTCAGAAAATACTTTTGATTGAATTTAATATTTTTTAAAAATTGTAATTGACATGACGTAAAAAAGTGAAATAAATTACACTTTCAGAAATTAAATAGAGGTGGAGCCCATCTTTAACAATTGAGTCAATAAAGTGATTTGATGCTTTTTACATAAGTTTAAGCTTAATTCTTATCAATCGAAAAAACATTGACGAGATTTTCATTTTTATTTGAGTCTCATAATATTCAAATCTTGATTATCCCCTTTCCTTACTTTGATCAAAATTACATTTTACATCATTTTGATAGAAGTTTTGAGATCAATAATTATTTTTTATTGGGTAAAGCTATACATTATCAATCATGAGTCATGATGAATCCAGTTTTTGAACCAGAAAACAATTTAATGGCAAAATTGAATTTACTGGTATGATTCTTTTTTCTTGGTCTGAACATTAAATTAATAGGGAAAATAGAAACTTGGGATCATCAAAGAAAATTTAAGTCAGTTAAGATCAATTGTTATTAAAATTTAAATTAAAAATAAGCTCAAATGAATTGTTATTAATTTAAAATGAGTTGTTAAAATCTAAATCAATACTTATTGATAAAAAACTAACCAACATCAACAGGTATCATTTTGACAATAAGTAATTTTTGATTAATATAAATTTTTTTAACGATTCTTGATTGATATTTTTTTAAATTAATATGTATGGGAATTGTACTGGGGAAAAAAGAGAAAAAAAAAAAGTGAAGAAAGAAAAAGATGCATTGGAGAAGAGGTTGATTAGTTTTATGTTTTAAGGAGGAGTTGAATATTAAAGTCTGCATCAGAACAGCATACTTCTCTATTTTTATTTATAATAAAAACTATCACTTTTTATTTATTTTTTTATATAAAAAAATTATATTTTAATAAGCATTCATTACATATTTTTAATTGCCTCTCAATTTACATTAACAAGAAATAATTAATGTATACTTATATTAATTAACATAAGGTATTTTAATTCAATTTTTTTATTTTCAAACTTAATTATTATGATTAACTAACTTTTTAAATTGTATGGTATAATTTTTTTCTCTTATATATAGAAATGGAGTAATTCTTAATAATCATGTTGTTGCAACTATATTTTTTTGTCACAACTGCAATAAATCTTCAAAATTAAGTCTGAAAGTTTAGGATTGAATTTATAACGGATTATATTTATTAAAAGAAAGATTGAATTTTTTTTCAAAATAAAAAAAATGACATGGGAGACAAATTTTGCTTCACCATCTTCTATTCTCAAATTCCTATAATTAAGAAATATTTTCCATTTCACCCAATTGTCAAGTGTAAATTGTTTAAATTTTAAGATTTATTTTTAATTTGAGCTAACTCTTTTCTTAGGGAAGAAAATCGACATCAAAATTTATTATTCATTGTGTCATAGCTCTTTTGAAATAAAAATTGATGATATCTGATAAAAATAACATAATCTTGGTATCGTTAGCAACGATACTCTTTCTAGTCATTGCGTCTCAGCAAACCATTTCTTACAGAACCAAACTTCATCTCAAAAGCCAATAATTGAGTACTCTCTCTCATCTCCCCCACCCGACCAAAAAAAAAAAAAAAATGTAAACATTAGGTTCAGAAAGGTAAAATAAAGCAATATATAGCAAAATAACAATCATTCTTTTAACTACTTTTTAGCCAAAAAAAACCACTATCATGGCCAAATCTCATTCACCAAAGTTGAAATTCATGCTTCTCACAAGTTATGAAGCATGCGTACGTACATTCCCGATAATAGTACTTCTGAACGTAAGCATTTTAGGCGCTCAAAATTACACATTACGCACTTCTGCATCAGAAAGTTTGGTTTAAGAATCTACTAAATTAAATCTTATTGACTCAAGAATGACAAAAACAATAATGTTATATCATGCCCATGCTTTATATTTTGAGAAAATCATCATATCTGGCAAGTTCTGGTATCCTTACATGAGCAACATAACTTGCAAGGCACGATGAACTCAACCACAAAACAAGATTCTAGTGAACGCTGAGTTCATCAAGTTTTCAGTTTGTTTCTTGCAAGGCATGACAAGCCTTCATACTCTCTCTCTTTAGCTTTACCTCCATTGCTCATCTCAGCCCTAACTATATAGAGACGCTTTTTTAACAAACATACGTTGCAGAATAAAGGTGACAAGATCAGAGCAGAGCAAACACAAAGACCCAAAAAAAAAAAAACAAAAAAAAAAAAAACAAAACAAGGCCCTGCAAGAGATGGGGATGAAACTCAGACTTGGTGATTCCAAAGAGCATGATGAAGAAAAGCACCCACTTCTGTTAAACATGGCGGTGCCAGAAGCTGAGAGGAGCCTGATTCAGAAAGCCATGAACCAGACATTTCAGAGCTCAGCTCATTTGGCGAATCTTCTGCCTACAGGCTCGGTACTTGCTTTCCAGCTTCTGTCACCAATCTTCACAAATCTAGGAATATGTGACTCAGTGAGCCGGTTCATGACTGCAGGACTTGTAGCTCTCTGTGGAGCCTCGTGCTTCTTGCTATGCTTCACCGATAGCTTCAGAGACTACAAGGGAAACATATGTTATGGCTTTGCCACTTTCAATGGCTTGTGGGTTATCGATGGATCAACCACACTTCCACTTGAACTTGCTGCAAAATATCGCCTGAGGTTTATAGATTTCATGCATGCAGTAATGTCAGTACTAGTATTTGCTGCAATTGCGATGTTTGATCAGAATGTGGTCAACTGCTTCTTTCCGGAACCATCAAACCAGACACAGGAGGTCCTCACATCATTGCCTGTGGGCATAGGCGTTATTTGCAGCATGTTGTTTGTTGTATTTCCAACACACAGACATGGAATTGGCTTCCCCCTTTCCACAAACTAATAAGTTTTGAGTTCTTTTTTGTATCTTTGTATCACTTGCCCTTGGAGCACATTCAGGAATTTGACAGGTTATTGAAATCAGAACCACAGCTATTTTATGGATTTTTTTGTTTGGAACAAATTATACAATGAGTCAAAAGATTTGTACATTATAGAATGCATTATAGAGTATAGAATATTGGACCTTCTGATATAACCTGTCATTAAAAAAATTCAATGTCATTGATTTCATGGAAGATCAAGATCGACAAATCAACTATACAAGGAATCATTGGAATTCGAAATCTTCATGAAATTTGAAACTTGAAATTTGCGTGCAAGTCCAAAGGACTCATTCAAAAGGCTTGTTCTATGAATTTTGAGAAAACTACATATGAGATAGTAAGCCTACAAGGTCGGAGAATCTAAGTTTCGATAAATCCTATATTAGAATCCCATACTCTAATCAAATAATCCAAGAAGTTGAATTTTAAGTTTAACTTCATATGGTAAAAAGTTTGATTACATAATTTAAATGATAAATCTATACAAGCTGCAATCCTTTAATATAACCACAATTGTCTTCTTCTATACTATAATTACCTATTGAAATATCAGACTTGTTTCCCTCCACATACTAATTTCTTTGTTTATATATGAGAGTTTATATTATTCTTTAATAATCTAATTTTCACCTTTGGCTTGCTTACAGAGGGAGCCACCTACATATCAACCATCTTATATGTCATTCTAACTCTATACCTTATCAAGTTATACTTATATCCTACTTCCATATATAAGTTATCTTTCAAGATCCCCTTTTCCCTTATTCCTATGATCTCCATCTCCCTTGATCCCTAGCACACCTCAATGGATTTTCTCAATTTCTTTCTAAACTTTGGTTGTGTCAATTTTATACAGAGACTTGTGTTATTTACTCCAATGGTTTCCACTTTCTACATATTCAACTAGAATCTAACCATCTAGTTAGTCCCAGATATTTTGTCAATCATCGTTTGAATGTGATCATATCAATTCAAAGAGACGTTGAAACATGGACAGATGTAGGATTGAACTGTTGGAGGAGTGGAAGAAAGTGCATTGAAAATGAGACTAATTGGGAGGATCAGGATAGGAAGTGAAGTAAATATATGGAAAGACAGATGGTTTCTTGACCTAGAAGGGAATTCATCTCAGCCGATGCAAATTCCTCAGGTGCATGGTGGTTTGAATTTTGGAGAGCTAAATAATGAAAGACAATCTACCCTTGATTTCTCTTTTGGCATATAATTTCAAGATTGCTAATGCTTGTTTCAAAAAGAGGGATAAGCATCTCATCACTTATAAAAATAGAGCTTCAAGGTCACAGATTGTTTTTTTTTTTTTTTTCTTTTGGCAAAGAAAGCATATAGGAGACTTTGTAAAAATTGTAAGGTGATTCCTAAAAATGCTGTAATGACACAACACAGGATCCTTGTCCTTAATGTGTGTATTGTGAGTAAAAATCAAAAGTTAAACAAGTAATAACTCCAAGGATCAGGTGATGGCAATTAAAAGGTGAAAAGAGAAAAATTTTTAAGAGAAATCTCTCGGTTGAAGAAATTTGGGGAGTCTTAAAGAAGTACTAACATCTTGTGGGAGAACTTGGTTGTGAAGGTAAAGAAGGTTGCAAAAGCAGTTTTGGGAGAATCAAGAGGTTTTGGTCCGAAAGATAAAAAGTCTTGATGGTGGAATGATAGCGTACATGAAAAAATCAAGTATAAGGAGTGTTTTAAAGCCATCCATTTGTGCAATAATGATGAAAATTGAGAACATATCGTATGGCTAAAATGAAAACTAAGAAGGCCATAAGTGAAACTCGTTCTAAAGCATTTGAAGAGTTTTATAATAGTCTTGGGACAAACTAAGGAGAACGAAAAATTTATAAGATTGTTAAGAGTAAGGAAAGAAAATCAAAAGATTTGGAACAAGTAAGATGTAAAAAAGATAAAGAGGAAAGTGGTTTTGATCACAATAATGATATTAAAGA